TCTGATATTTTCATTCAATCAATAATTATCAAAAAATCAATATTTTAAATACAGAATTTACCATTTTTAGCTTGTGGAGCCTCTAGACGTCACCATTTTATCTGATTTTAAAAACTTTTTAAATATATCACCGTTACACCATAATGATGGTTAAGTTCGAATTTCGTAAAAATCGGATCGAAACTACCCGACAAAATGGTCGCTCCTTGTACGCAAATAGTCTAAAAGTATGTAATACCAAGGTTGTAGTCCTTCTAGAGGTCACAATGTTTGTCTGATTTTGATGAAACTTAAAATATGTTTATATCCCGAATATCTAGGTTCCTGTAGATATTCACGCATACCGTACCGTAACTTCCTGGATTATAGCCCTTGATTGTACGAAAAATGGCTTCTTTTTTAAGCTTGTCCTCCGTCCATCTCTTGCAAAATATGGACGTATCTTGCATTCATTTATTTTATTACGACATAGGGTTGTACACAGATAATAGAAAAATATTCTAGTTGACTTACCGCCATATTTTAAAGTAAAAAACACTGCTTTCTCTGATGTTATAGGAGTGTTGTTAGTTGTAGTCGTATTGTTAGATGTCGTGGTAGTCATTTTGTAGATAATCCAATTTATATGTTTTTAACTTATTCGGCTGTGTTGAAAAGTATAATGAAATAATACAACTATGATACCGGCACTCGGTTAACTTTTCCCACTCTCGGAAATCTTAACTAATTGACTAACATCACATATCCGTATTATTTAGATGTTAACTCTTTATTGATATAACTCCGGCTGTATATAACGTGAAATAACGTCTACTGGAAGTTGGAGTGCTGATCGACAGTTTCCTGGATATAAAATCACCTATGTGTGCGGTATTAAAATATATATGAATTACTTATAAATCAAACAGATATTGTTTGTAATCCGTGTGTGCCTCGAAAGCTTCTTATATGTCTCTTAGCGAAACACTATAAATAACAGTAAATGTCATTATCGATACAATCATTAACGAATCACAAGTTCAGCAAACTGTAAGAAAGCAGGAAATCGAATACAGCAATGACAGAACACTGTAAAATGCCAATTGTTCAAATTATTATTGGGTTCAAAAGTATACTGAAATGAAATGAAATGGGGTTTAACGTCCTACTGTTCTGCCGCGACTGCATGGGCTAGTGGAGACGGCCATACGCCAAACAGTGTATGAGGGAAATTTTGCCCGGATCTTTTACGTGCTGGCCAATGTGTACACGGGACCTCGGTTTTTCGTCCCATCCGAATGACTAGACAACTGTCCTTGTCAGGCCCTCCCTCCGTTCTGCACCACTGACGAGGGGAATCCCCCAAAAATATACTAGCTAGTAGGATAATACCGAACAGTAAATAATATTGAAAGTATTTTTATAAGGTTGTTTATTAGCCCTTTCGCCCCCAAACCGCCAATGCCCGTGTCGTATGCAACAGTTACTGTAGGCCTACGTCAAGAGCAATATGGTGATTGTCATAAAAGTGTCATAAAAATCATTTCCTGGTAACATAGTCCACTTAATTTATTATAGCTGACTGATACTTTCAACAACTTATCAGTTTGAGGGTTTAATGTTATATTACTCCTACTTGATTCAACACCTGGAATTCACCAATGGCAATACAAAAAGAACGAAAATTTTGCAAGAGCGCGCAACATTTAATGCACCCCGCTTACAGTTCTAATATTCCCAATACACTTTTACTAAACAAGACAAATTATATCAAATAATTACTGTTATCCGAAATTCGCTTATTGGGTTTTTTTTTCTTGTACAACTGACATTGTTAACGGTAATAAATAGTCCATGTATTGTCCCCAGACTAGTCTTTATGATGCGAAAACAATAGTGATAATCGCATCATTTTATTCTAATGTATGTGATCATATCGTAACAACCGGGAAAACTATTTACTCCAATAAGAAATCACTGATTACCTACCTCCCTAGTTCAAAACATTTTACAAACATTCTATATATGTGATCATATCAATCGGTAAAATTATTTACCCCACTGTATATCCTTTATGATAGTTGTTAAATGCAAACATAAATGATTTACTGTTATTGGTGAATCCTTGAGTTAGAAAAGAGAACTTAGTATATTCATAGCCGCTCATAATTGAATTTATATATAGGATTTATAGGAGTTATAGGTATACATAGTATGTCTCAATAATAACTTGCAAATCTTTTCACGGATCATTCTAATCGCATTGTACCTCTTGTATTTATTGTAAAAATCTTGACAGTTGTTAGCAAGTCAAGGTGATTTGTTGATCTTTTAAAGCCATGCAACCAGTACAATAAGTAAAAATATTACACAGAGGCAATGTAGATTATTTTGTGCAGGTCGGGGCTATGCTTTGCTGTTCTTATGTTGAATCTATTGCTTGGCCAGACAAGAAAGGTATATGACCCCTTAATTGCAAATATAGTGAGTATTATAATGACAAGAGCAAGCGGTTGCCATGCAAGAGAACGAGCTAAAAAAGAAAGGTGCGATTTTTTTTTGTTGTTGCAAAATCAGGGCAATAATCCAGAAAAAATAGCGTACTAGTGTTGTGCATTGTCAATATACTAGTTCTTAGTGGGGCGGCGAATTAAGCCATCGCCTGCTTGGTTCATGTGCAAATACGCCCGCGAATGGACCAAGCAGGCGATGTCACAGTCAAGCGTTCAGTGTCAAAAGTGTTGTCATAGTTATATTCAATGACGTCGTTTAGTATAACTTTACCTGACATTTCTCAAATAGTATGCCGTTTGCTAATACCATACCCCAAAAGACAAGAACGGCAACATTAAGACTTTTCGGTTTCATACAAGCATGACGTTATTCTTATAAATGATAATGATTACTTAATTCTCACAATCATTAATGATTTTATAATGTTTCTTATCTAGCTGAGGTGTACTCACAATTAAATAGACGAATCCAGTTTCTGTATCGGGGATGGGTATCTGGTTCAGCAAGTTGCATTGCACAGGAATAATGCGGGCATGGACTCCTGCGTGCCAAATTGCATTGAGAAGCGATCTGATTTTGTTTCGTTTTATATAGTTCAAAATTTCGTTTTACTTGTCTTTACTACACTAGAATCTGGAAGAGTTGTTATCTTACCAGCGTTTTGGCTGAAGTGAAGGATAAGCCAATGAAACGGTCTGTTACGGCGACTTCTTGACATGTCATTCAAGGAACTGTGGGTAAAACACTAGAAACGTCAACGCTGATTGATTAATCAATGTCTGACGTCATAGGATCAATAGCCGCTCGTATGACCCCTGACACGACCCACCAAATCCGCGACAAAATGAAAAATCACAAATTAAGAAAATCATTTGGATGTTTGTTAGCAGGTCTGTCGCGCGTTGGACCTCGTTTCGGCAACTTGGATTTTCGATACTTTTATTGAATTTTTAAAAATATTTTTAGCCACAACACCGATGGGTGGATCTAAAAGTCATAAAAATCTGGCTCAGCTTCTGGCCTATAACTAAGATAACTAGAACAAACTTCGATGTTCACTTCAACAAATACAATCATATTTTAAACTCCCAAAACCAGCCCCGCTAGCCTGGAGGTCAGGTGTTCGATCCCTGCATTGGCCGAGAAAGTTCATCCAACTTGGTTCCCCCTTTGTCAGCGATGCAGGACGGAGGCCTGACAAGGACAGCTGTCGAGTCGTTCGGATGGGACAAAAAACCAAGTTCCCGTGCCGTGTACACATTGGCATGCACATAAAAGATCCATTTACAGTTGGAATTCGATATAAGAGTAGGCCGTAGTGCCCCTGTCCGGGCAAAATTTCCCTCATAGCACACTGTATGGCGTATGCCCGTCTTCATTAGCCCAGTAGGATGTTAAACCGCATATCTTTTATTTCCCAAAACCGGCCCAACTTTTAAGACCTTATCATCACAAAGATACGAATAATTGTAGACACTTGACGCATGGGCGGTGCATAAATCTCATGTAGCACTTAAAAACGATGATGATGGAATGATTCTCTGAAGCATCTTAAAAGAATCTGTTCATTAATGAGAAATTTGTGCATCTATTGTTTGGGCAATAGCTGTTACAGTTATTCTGATCCATCATGTGTGCATCGTCAAAATATAGAAGACAGTGAAGTACATGTATTATACCCATCATCTAATCAAACAATATTATAACTAGGTTGCCAGACAAATGCAAAATAATGATGAAGCGTCATAACCCCAACAGTAATTATTGGCAATTCTTGTCACATGATCATAAACACTTTGCATAAATTTAAAGGAAATCGACGAAAGATAACCAGCATCTACAAGGTTTATTTTCAAAGGGTAATTATTGGAAATTGTTCGAGATTGAATATCTTGTAAACATTACAACTGTGTATAAATGTCAGGTCAATCAGATGATAAATTTTGTCCAGAGCATTCACAAGAATTTTCAAATTGATCAAGGACCATAACTCTGATAGTTATCATAATTTGTTGAAAATCAACTGGATTCTGTGTATCGGAAGGTAACTTTAGTCTCAAAGGGCCATAACCTCAACAGTAACTATCACAAATCATTGTAAATCAACAGGCTTTTTTGTCCACTGAACATGCTATAGGGCTTATATGAGTGGTAGATGTATTTTAAGACCTATACCGTTTGTTTTGGGAACACAACCGATGTAGACTGTTATAGTCCATTGGCCAATCACGCTATTTTGCACAGATTTCGTCTAATAGTTAGGATGCAGCTATGGCGGGTGTGGCGCCAGGCAGGGTAAGCTTACTCTCCCGGACACCTGTTACCACTGTTTGTCGTGTATTTTGTACACGAGGAGCAGTCCATTTGCTGATTACACTATTTTGCTTGAATACACTATTTTGCCTATAACGTTTTTTAGGACTTCGAATTCTATCTTATGGTTCGGATTGTTCGTACTTGGTTTTATTTTATTTGCAATGAAATAAAGTCTTACAAAAATAAAGAAATATTTTTCATTCGCACTTTTATTACAACAGACACACAATGTTTACATGTAGTAAATAATATAATAGTACCAGGCAATTAATATACAATGCTGTAAATTTTTATATTATACAAAATATTAAACCTTACTTCAAAATATCATTAACATAAAGATGCAATAAAAATTACCAATCTAGAATCAAAATTATGAAATAGATTCTGATATTCAATTGAAATCAATCTGATTAAGATACATACAGATCTATATTTAGTTTTATTTTTTAATACTTTAGATGGACAGTACTACATGAAGATCTGACCGGTTGTAGTGAAAGGTCACGTCAGAGGTCGTAAGAGCGGCTTTTGACCCTATATTGATTAATCAGTGTCGACATTTCTAGTCCTTTACCCACAGTTCCATGCATAGCATGCCAAGAAGTCGCTGCAACAGATGGTTTCATTGGCTAAACCCACACGCCATCCAGAACGCTGGTTATATAACAACTCTTCCAGATCCTAGTGTAGTACAGACAAATAAAACAAAATTTTGAACTATAAAAAACGAAACAAAATGGGATCTGTGTTTTAATCAGAATGAATTGAAATTCGAATTTTAAATATAAGATTATATATTTGATCCAAATGAAACATAATTTATTTGAAGTTACTGAAAGAAATCTGATAATTTTAATTAATAAAACAAAGAAAAATATATAAATTAATTCTGAAACGTGTATTGACAATTTTACCCATCAGATATTACAAGCTTTTATTATTTAATTTTTCCTCTAAAAAAGATGAAATTTTTTAGCACCCCATATATGATATAGCACAGTGTATGTAATAAGATAAATACAATATATTTAATGATGACAAAAGATGATATATGGTGTACAATGTTATAAAGATAGGTTGCCAATAACATACGCCCACAGCAGATAAATCATCCGAGCGGTCGACAAGGGTTGTCGCATATTTATTTATTTGTAGGCAATTGGGGGCATTTACAAGACAATCACATACAGATCAGATTATAATTTTTGTCGTTCACAAGGGTCTACAAACTCAAACAAGGGCCTTAACTCTGGAAGTAATTTATAGAAACTTTTGGAATTTGACAGGCTTTTTTGTTTTACTAATTTAAATAATACATATAAATTTCATACAGATCGGATGATAACTTTTGTCATTCGAAGGTTCACAAAGTAAAACAAGGGCCATAAATCTAGAAATAATTGACAGAAATTGCTGAAATTCAATAAACCTGTTTCACAAATTTAAATGATGCATATAAATTTCATACATATCGGATGATAACTTTCATCAATCGAGCATTAACAAGGTTGAAAGACATAATAAATGGAAATTGCTGAAATTCAATAGGATCCTTCATCTCACTAATGTAAACAACATATATCAATTTTAAAACAATCGGATGAAAACTTTTGGCTTTAGATAGTTCACAAGAAATTGTGGACGACGGACAGGGGTAACGGCAATATACATCCACATTTCCATGTGGGCGTATAAAAATGGTATATCAAATATAGATATAAAGAAACATTTTGGTCATTTTACTTGGTTTTCTATAGTATATGGGAAGACACATAAGTAATAAATATACCATGATAAATCGATATGTTTCATTTGAAATTTTGGAATTTTGTCAAATATTAAATATAATTTCCTAAAAATTATTTGTAATATATAATAATGTTAATACATTTAATTTTAATAAAAAAATGCTGATTTCATGATTGCAAAATGCCCTAATATTTCTATATCCAAAAATACATATTTATCTACACGGTATTATATAAAAGAACTAGAAAATATATTCTGTCTAAAATCAGACATTGTCAAATCATGAAATTTTTAAAAATAAACTCTGAAACTGAAGTAAGGAAATTATCAGCCAAATGTTTCTAAAATTTAGTTTCAGATCTTTTTTAATCACCTTGGAAAGCATTCTATGTAGGTATCGCTTGCATAAACCGTAGCTTTCAATTTCAGAGTTTAATCAAAATGTATTAATATTGGTCTCATGCATACTAAGCTGTTGGTCCTATACATTAATGAAACACTAATTACAAGCTCAATTACTTGTGCTATTGATCAAATAACTACAAATGTCCCCTCTACTGATAAATATCCTTATTTTTAAGATACAATTGTAAGGGCCATAAATCTTATTCTTTGATCAAGTGTCTATCTCTTGTTCGCCACGCTCCTGGTAAAATATGTAATTCCAAATAGTACCAATAATTTATGTAATTCTTAAGCTACCGGACACCTGTAATTATTCACGAAAACAATTAATTTATTCTGATAAGACCTCTGGGTAGTTTGTTTTATATATAACACTAATATGATATAGTTTCACAAACACAGAATTTAAAGCAATTATATAAATTAATATTAATTACCCCATACCACTATCATTCCACCTATATATAGATAAAAGATGAAAAAATTATGATTTGGTATTCAAACATTTTACAATTCATATCTCAATGGAATATTTCTGTATTAACTAAATGATAATGTTAATTTGCAGTATTGTTAGTATTGTCTTATTATGCAATGAAGTTTTCTTCATCTTAAACAATTACATTTACAGGAAACAGTGTGAAACAAATCTTTTTCTGAAGTTGATAAATAGATGATCATGTAAACAGTTCTTCATATATTTTAAAATAATATAGTGAAATGAGCATGAAAATATATTTATTAAATAAATTGAATGAGTAAAGAATTAAAAATTTAAATAATTGACTAGAAATTGAGCACAAAATATAAACCGACTTCATTTAAATATACCCCAATAATAAGCCAATGAATGGAAATAAGTGTAAAAATTTGAGCTTTTAAAGTTTTTGTGTATAATAACTTTTGAATTGAGCTATGAACGAGGGGGGGGGGGGGGGACTGGCATGATGTTAACACCCCTTGGTGAGAAATAAGACAATCCACTTGCATATAAAACAGTTCAAACTTCTGTATCAATCTTTTGGATCAATTCACCGTTTCAGGAGTATTCACTTCCAGATCACTTTTCCCCAGTTTATGATTTTAAATAAATAATAACAATTTAAATGTATATGGTAAAAAATACATGTAATTAGAAATGATCAATCACATTTGGTTTAAAGCTACATACTTTAACTATATACAAAACATCTACAATCTCAGATTCTTGCGTTGTGTGTAAACATTTACACTCTATTTATATGTATAATAACAAAACTAATGTAAGCTTAAATATTATCATTTAGAAAAAGAAACATTACTTATACATTAGCTTGACCCAATACAAAGTCCTAACTTAAATACCTTAAAGGTAAAAATACCAAAATTCACAAACTGAATTAAGAAACCACTCGTATCCAATGCTACTTTTACTTTGAGTAAAATTGTGTTGGGAGTAGGGGTTTAAGCACATGTGAATAACTGAAGGTAACTTAATAAATTACAGACTTATAAGCAAACAACATTTATTTATTTCAGTCTGAAATACCTTAATATAACAGAATATTTCTCGTTAACAGAAATGATTTACTAATTTTGCAAATGGATGTAGATTTTTCTGGTTCTGCCACCATAGTGGAATAGAATTGATAAATGAATTCCAAATTTTATATAATGATCCCATTGAGTGCACTGTTTACATACAGAGATTGTACAGTAGTATAAATGATGAAAGATGTACAATATTTATATAAAGAAGTCTGTACAATATATATAATAATAACATATCACCTCATCATAGAGAAACTTAACTGACAATAATAACATTATTGTCCACTCCATCATCACCACATTTAACCGGCTGAAATATAACAACATAAGCATATTTGTTAATAATAAATTCAAATACATAATTCCTGCTCATAATAATGAATTTTACAAGTATAAAAATGGTATGTGCTAGATTTTCTTGTGTTTTGATAAACCAAAAACAAAATAATTTCATCTCAATCCATTTAAAATTTATTGTTATATTCTTGCTCAAAGTAGTCAATATCACTCTATCCAAGAAAATGATTTTGCCAATTACCTAGAAAACTCAAAATTCTACCAAACACATATATGAATTCACATGTTTAGAATTCGCTATAACATCTCATGCTCTTTCAAAAAAACAAAAACAGATATTTTTCAACTTTCTGTCTATGGACTTGGAATAAGAATTATGATTTATGTTTTCTTTATAATTATTTTATTCAGATAGAACTCGTATAATAGTATATATAATCGGAGTGTCAACAGGTACACCTTAAAAATAATCTTTTCCGAAGTTCCAATGGAGTTATCTCCCTTTAGTCTTTAGAAGTCACCAAAAGGTTCAACTATTGCCCAGTCCGACATGTGTCAAAAATTCTGTATCTCGATCGGGTTCTGTAAGCCCCAATCAACAATTTGACCAATTTTTAAAATATTCCAAAGAGAACTTTTGTATTAAGTTCACCAGCTTTAAAATGAGTTAAATTGTAGCGGGGAATACTTCTCTCCGAGACTAATCTACATGCTTTTTTTTAAATTGAATAAACTTATGGCTTAATATAGATACTTCAATATACATTATGTAGAAATGAAATATTTACCTCGTTTTTATTAACCACCCATTCATCATCTACAAGATATTTATAGAAATATTCACCAACAGGTAGATCTATTGTTGTTTTAAAACCGTCATCACTACAAAAATACAATGCTTCATTAACAATAATCTAGCTATTAATTTATCAATGTAAATCAAATAATATAGTGTCTGCCTTTTAAATATTTACTGTATGGAATAAGTTTATTATATCAAATTCTACATTTTAAGATGAGAAAAATTTGAAAAGTGTTATCCAAGTTTTATGCACTTAGTTAAATGATATTGTACTTTATGATATGAAACCTGTCTAAAGATGATTGTTTGCTTACCTTTTCTCTAATGTGAATTTTTCTTTCCATTCACTGAAGGTTCCAGAAACCTGAACATTTTCTCCTTCACTTTCCCATTTAAACTGTGTTGAAACTTTAGTGTCTCCGTTCTACAAATAACGTTATCATTAGCAAGTTTATATGGAAGGGTATCGCTGCCGATATTAAATGCTCTGCGACAATGTTGTTTCCATTGATTATATTTAAAAAGTACAATGTACAAAGTCCTAATACCGATAATAACGTCAAAATACGTCTAAGGCAAGAGTTAAATGTTAAACGTCAAATGTTAAGTGTTAAATGACAAATGTTTTGTGGGAAAATGCTTTTTTTTTTTTGACGTGTCTACATTTCTCTCATTACATTTCACATTTGCGCTCTGCCACATCCCATTTGTCATTCACGCTTTCTACATAGCAACTTTCGCACAGCATCAACTTTCATATGCAAATATTGGTAGTCATCTAGTTCTTACCTGATGTCCATTTACCTCTGATGTTCCGTTAGTAACTGGTTCTGGTTTGGTTTCCTCTATTCCATTCTCTGTTGTTCCATTCTCTTCTGTTGTTCCATTCTCTGTTGATTCTTTTTCTACCAGAGGTTCTGGTGGAGGAGGAGGAATATCTTCTGTGCTATTTTCAGCAACTGGAGCATCAGTTGATTCTGAAGGCACATCTGGTTCTGGTATTGATTCAACTATTGGCTCTGGTGCTTCTGGTTCTGTTACCACTGGTGCTTCCGGTTCTGGCTGGGATTCAACAACAGGTTCTGGCTGGGATTCAACAACAGGTTCTGGCTGGGATTCAACAACAGGTTCTGGCTGGGATTCAACAACAGGTTCTGGCTGGGATTCAACAGGTTCTGGTAATGATTCTACCACAGGTTCTGGAGAGGCTTCTGTAACTTCAACCGGTTTGGTTTCTTGAAGAGGGGCTGGTGGCTCCGGCTTTGTTTCCTCCACCTGAGCAACTACAGCTTCTGTTTTAGGTTCTTCAACAACCGTGGGAGCTACTGGTGTCTCTGTGGTTTCTACTTTAACCTCCTCTTTCTTCTCTTCTGGGGCATCTTTAACTGCTTCTTCGACCACTGCTTCAACTTTAGTTTCTTCTGTTTTTGGATTAGATGGGGCATTATCCGCAGCAGGGACTTCAGTATTAGATTCTGCTGCAGGTTTTTCAATAGGACTTTCTACTATGGCTTCACCATCTCCCTGAAATAGTCATAATTTCTTCAATGAACCTTTCAAGATCATTCTACAATTAATGGTAATTACAGATATGTTACCATTACAGATGGATATTTCAGACATCCCTAGTCTAATATATTCTAAATCACATCAAACAACAGGACACCTTATTGGAATAACTGGCACCACTTTCCACCACAAAAAATGAAATGGAGGTTCTGCTCTGACTTGGCTAATGAAGATGGGCATACATTGTACGCCATACAGTGTGCAATGAGGTAAATTTTGCTGGGGCAGCAGCACTATGGCCTACTCTTATATCGTATTCCAAGAGTCAAGGGATCTTTTTATGTGCATGCCAAGGTATACTCAGGACCTTGTTTTGTTTCCTTCGTATCATCCGAAAGATTAGACAGCTGTCCTTGTATGGCCCTCCGTCCTGCACCCCTGACCAGGTGATGAACTCAGCCAATGCAGAAAGCCGAACATGCATCCTTCAGGCTAGTGAGTCAGCATCTTACCCACTTAGCTACTGTGGTTCCCTCCACCATAATGAATGAAGATTCAAATCAACAAATTGGGGAAAATGTTCGAGAGAGAGAGATGGGGTTTATCGTCCACTTGATACAAACTAGGTCATTTCGGGACTAAAATGATTCTATTTTATTTCAATTTGCTTGTGCATAAGAGTCCTTAGCAGTGGGAGGAAACTGGAGGACACAAGAGACAACCCACGAGATTGGACAGACGACCCTACTCTTTGTCACGTACAACTGAGGAATTGAAACCCCACCAGTTGACTCAATGACAAACCTGTCCTATGATGCAACATGCACGCACTAACCATTCGGCCATCCAACCCCAATTATTTGTAATAACAAAAGTGGTAATTATTAGGTTTATTTAGGATACAGCAAGTGTACAAATCTTACCTCAGTTCGTTTATTGTCTTCTACCTTTTTATCAACTGTTTCATCTTCTGTCTTTCCTTCTTCAACTTCCCCATTCTCTACTTGTTCTTCTGTTTTAGTTTCAATTCCTGTTGCCTCACCATTTACTTGTTCCTCATCAGAACTTTTTTCACCTTTAGTATTTTTCTTCTTTCCACTTTTTTTCTTCTCCTCCTTGTCCTTCTTAGGTCCACTTTGTTTATTTCCCATATTTTATTTTGATGAATAAACTATGCTCTGTAAACAAATAAACAATAGACATTAGTTAGAAATTGGAATAAAGATTTGATACATTACCAGTAACTAAAAGAGATAAGATCTATGAATATGCTTTACAATTAAGTACACAATCAAACAATTTTCGAGAGTATTTGAAATGATTTGGGGGTATTCTTTATTCGGTGGCAATTAAAACTAATTGAATTCAATTAATTTTTTTTTCTTCTAGGGATATGACATATTCAGTAATATAAATCAATGCTATGAACTAATAATCAAAAATATATAAACAGATGAGGAAAATAAATGCTTTGAAAGATTCATAAAAAACAATACATAGAATAATCACTATAACCAATATTTCATTTATGAAAAAGTACACACAAGATGACAGTCATATTGCAACACAAGACCAACTATCACTGATGTAACCTTGACTGTTTTTCTTTCTTTAAAACATCAACTGCTAGTGTATCATCCATTTCTTAAAAACAATGTGTCACAGTACTAGCCTAATCTAATAAGTATATATCTCTTTCAGCTTGACAAGACTTTGCAATAAATCTATTTACCCATTACTAAAACTCACTTAGATTTGTGTAAGGCACTCCAAATATTTCAACTTTCTACTATGACCAAGTTTTTTACATTTTTGTTTTACATTCTTGGTCAAAACAAATATTTTGTCAATGAAAACAAGTGAATTAGTATTATGATTTTTAATCCAGTATCTAGTCTTGACAATGCAACTTACATATACAATGTACCCATAATACTTGTATCAAACAATCCCATTCAACATATACACAACATTCCATAGTAAGAATATCACAAATACCTTGACTTAATTATGAAGGAGTTAGGTGTGATCCTTGTGACATTTAATGTTATCAGTAACGGTAAATGCTGGCAATAGCTTAAACAGAGATATGTAGCACATACATCTATTGTTAAATTCCACTTCGGTCATATATAGTGTATCAGACAGTTTAAATCAATTTTCCTTTCTAAGGTCTTAATACATTAGCTCTAAAAAGACAATTCATATCCTGAATTTTCCATTTTGTTTTCAGAATGAACAATCTTTTAGAATCAAGTCCCTGTTTTATGCAGCATACACAAAGTAACTTCAATAGGGTTATTATGTGTGAAACAGGATCGTCTACGTAGATAATGTTTTCGATCCAAGTACAACAGCACGTATCATTTAATCAACAATCATAAGTTTCAGAAAACAACTCTTAGAATAATTTATGAAAACTTCAATAGGGATTTTCATACCTCAAGCATATCAGTAACAATAATTCTGGAAAATAGCTATTTCTTATAATTATCTAGTATAAAATATAGTTTTTTTTTTGTGATGAACCCAAACTTTTTAACTATTGAAGCTGCTGATACTCATTTTCAATTCATCATTATGGATTTATGATTAAGGAATTGAATCAAACCATTTTTCAGATTAAAATTCCTGTCAAGAGTCAACTTTCACAATATTGTAGTTTGATATGGATTAAATACTATTCCTTTTACCAGATAAATGAGTTGGCAGTCAATAACACAAAGCTGAAATGTCACAAAATCTCAAATTAACATCTACAAGTAATTATATATCACATGTTTATTATTGATTCCAGATTGTTCTAATATTCTCCCATATATACAGCATTGTTGATTTGACAGCCTGAACCATAAACCATGAACTTATATAATTAGCATGTTAATTAAGTGGACTTTGGTTACTTATTATATCTACATGTACTGTGTATACTTTTGAGATCTAGACTCATAAATTAGGAATTAGTTATCCGAAATATTTAAAACATGACTATAAAACCTCATTTGTAATAATCAAAATGTAATATATAAAATTCCATAAATATTTAACATGAATGTTAATGTGTTTTCCATACAGTTATGAAGTCCTCAACATGTCTTTTTCATGTTTATATGTAATAATATGTGCTGTCAAATCTTGAGTTAAAGGGATATAACCAGATGTGTTTGATGCAATCTGCCATGGAGACAAAAGCTGGCTTTGTAAGCTGTCAATAGCCAGGTTGAAACATTCTATTTGTTGGTTTACATCCTTACTCTGATTAATGTTGACTCACATGTTGCATTTCTCACATCAGGTCCCGCATCTGGATTATCAAGGCAACTTTACTAACTCTATGCTTTTAATATATCTAATACAACATTTATTTTCAAATATTGCTGGCACAATTATATGTAACATTAAAGATATATTATGGGAGATTAGATAACGAGTTAGCAGTTCTCACTATAATACATGTAGTTAAAAACTAGATAATGTAAAGGCAATTTGCTTAAAATTTCAGTCAAATTGATCCACTATGAACCAAGAAATAAGCGATCAAAAGTTCCATATAGCCTCGGTCATCATTACTAAAGTAGGTACAACAAAAATCATAGTCTCGATTATCCATTTAATCGTTAAATCGAGAAGGAAAGCTATGCAGCAAATCGGATCATAATCCAACAAATATCGCATACTAGCGCCGACATTAATGTTTAATAGTTTCTATAACATTTCGGGCCTAAAGAAAGACCTACAATTGGCAGACTTAGCTCTTGCATAATGTATGTTTAAGTGGACAACAATCAATTTCTTTGCTGATAATTTTTAAATAAAATAATATCGGTAGTCTGTAACCAAATTTACAAGATAGTTATACCTAATATTTTCATTGAAACTAATATCCAGTGTGAAATATCTCAACAGTGTATTGGATCAAAAGAATGCAAAAGTATTTAAATATTAATTTGGTAATATTTTCCACTACTTACATGTTGGATAAATATATTGTCTTGCTCTCTAGACAATTTCAACCAGATTGTATCATAGAAGCAGTCCTATCAGAAATGATGAACAACTGAATCAATCTTGAGTTTTTGTTCAGTTAACTCCACATACCATCTGAGCTATACTCATTCCGATTCTAAACAAAACTCAACTTATCTGAGCATTACTTAGTTTAAATAGTAATAGATATCACTCATAACAAATACAACTTTATATGTTATCATTTGTTATTTTAGCTATTTAATATTAGCAGATGTTTAAACAGATGATATCTCATATCAAATTATATAGTCCCACCTATCAGTTCACCATTTTATATATCTTTTGCCATTCATTCATAAAAATTATAATCCCTTAATTCCAAAATAATCTTGTATTTGGACATGTAGGAGTCATTTACCCAGTTCATGTGAAAACAAGGATCATAAGGCAGTCCACTTGAAGAACAGAATATCCAATACGATATGGAAAGCTGGTCGAAACACAAGCAACTGAGATTAATAATATAATGTAATATACTTCAAAGGGTCTGTCTTGGATTTCTCTGGAGAATGGAGAACATAAAAGTTGGTTGAAGTAGGTCTGTTAAATCCAAAATGTGACGAAACACTTATTTATGGCAAGGTCTAAAACTTAAGATGTAAACAGGGCTAGCACTAACCCTAACCCACAATTTCGCCAACAACCACGTGCCCTAACCCCATTACATCTTGTGCCCTGTGACGAAATCTGCAGTTGGCCTTAATTATTAGACTTTACCCTTATTTACCTTCTCTGAAAAATTCAAAATTAAAATACTGAGCTGTTTGGGTATGTCTGCTAGATTTCCCTAACATGGTCATTATTCAATTGTAGAAGTCCCTGATCTGATATATATCTCAGACTACTCTATTCGTCATTTCTAAACATTTCAAATATGATTTAATTAGATTTAACTCAAGGTACTAAACCTTTAAATTAAAACAGCAAAAAACATTCCACTCCTCATGCTATTTGAACTTTTGAAAAGAACATATTTATCAAACCATGGTTTCCCACTTCTACAGAATTACAAATTCTTCAACAAATACAGAAAAATATGTTACCTTGTCTAATGTTTTAAGTAGTAGAGGACAGAAAAAATCAAGAGCACTTAAAACCAGACATGACCTCAAAAACTAACAGTGTACTGATCGGTTTGCATAACTTTAAAACACAGTGTTCACGCTGAGCAAACAACATCCAACATCTTTCCCTCTCTGCCAGTCTTTGTTTATAAACTGCATTGTAAATCTTTGAATAAATACTGCACAAACTTGCATCCGTTTCTTATACGTTGTTTTTTGAGCCAGCTATTAGAGGGTGCAATCAACGTTTGTATTTAATTCTTGCAAACAAAGTGACAGTGACATGACAGATGAAAACACTTTTTACTATAGTGGCAAAAAGGCTGGACTAATAGGTTTTGCAAACATAGAAAAAATATCAATAGTGATTTAAAGATTTTACAGTTCGTTTTTAAAACAACCTTCTACTTGTGGTGTAAAGTTTTTTGTTTTTTTAAATACAGGGTAGCATAAAGCACTGCACAAGGATCATAGATCTGTTATCCTAGAAAGCTAGAGAACATTTTCCTCCCTGCGGTAAGGTACTGGCTCACTAACCACAAAGACTGGGGTGTGATCTTGGTATTGCCTGGGATATTATAGTGTGGTTTCCCCCTTGTCAGTGGTGCACGACGGGAGGGCCTTGAAAGGATGCGTCTAGTTGTTTGGATGGGAAGAAAAATCGCAGTCCAAATTACATATTACCATGAACATAAAAAGGTTAAATCCCCTTTCATTCATTCTTACATGTCATTCATACAATACATATATCGGTACATCTACCAGTATACAAAATTCCTGATTTAAACATTTCAAAACAGTGTTTAATCTAGGAAATGATACTAAGCTCTTTTGAAAAGTTTTCATACAAGAAAAACAAGAATGAAAATAAAATTTGCAATCAGTTTTACCTGCAATATAAAGTTCACCTGATTCAGTCGTAGATTTCCTGCTAATGACTAGTGTACAACTGATACAAGCTATTACAATCCATGAATTATTGATAAAGGGGCTGAGTCATAAACTCAAAGCTGTAAATTTCATAAATCAGGTTTTAATACACTGTTCATAAGACTAATCAATATATTGTAAGTAATACAATTTCA